CTTTACTTGTAAGTGAAAGGTCTTAAGTTCGATTCTTCACAAAGACTTATTTGAACCACATTTTTGCTAACTCATTGTGAGACTAAACCTACTCGTCTTCTTCAATATAAATAATATCATTTGTTAAAAACAAAAAAAATTAACAAGGAATTGAACAAGAATTTGAAGGTCTTAAGTTCGATTCTTCACAAAGACTAATTTGAACCATATTTTTGCTAACTCATTGTGAGACTAAACCTACTCGTTTTCTTCAATATAAATAATATCATTTGTTAAAAACAAAAAAAATTAACAAGGAATTGAACAAGAATTTGATCAACTTTATTCTCAGAGGGCCAAATGTCACCGGATGGAGTGAAGTGCAATTAATTGAGCTTTAAAAATACAAGCATCCCAAGTGAAATGGTAAACCTAAGACAAAGACAAAAATGGATGTGGACATCCGACGGCTGTTATCCACACACGTGCGCATTGCATGTCTCACCTCCCTCCCAACTCCCAGCCGCCGTCGAGGGATGCTTGAATGTTAGGTAGAGGACTACCAAACCCTCAAAGATCTTCATTTTCTATGGACCAGTGTATAGGTAGGGGCCCACAAATTTTTCATTTTCTTTCTCATTTGTCTTTTATTTATTTTTTTAAAATAATTTTATTTTGAATTATTCTTGTGTCTGGTGTCATTGGGTTACATGTTGCTGGACATGCTGAGCCACAGGAGCCTCGATTTTTTTCATTGGTGCTCCTCTTGAAAATCATTCAAACCATACCAAAAAAAAAAAACTTCTAGAAACTATCATAAATTAGTATGTATCTTCTCCTTGAATTTATTTGTCTTTTGTAATTTATACTCTTTTGTTTTTGTTGGCAAGAAATTCAACCTAGAGGTCACACGTTTTCCATTTTGTTTTCACATATATTGGCGTTAAGGGAAACAAAAATAATTCAGTAATGCTATTCTTATTATGTTTTCATATTATATTTATATATTACCTTATGTGGTATTTAATGTGGACAGCCACATCATTTAAATTAATTAAAATTTAATTTAAATTAAAAACCATTTAATAAACCAATAATAAAAATAAAAAAAAGCTGGAATTAAATGGTGATTGTGGCATACGAGGAGTCTACTCCTTCATTTCCCATTCAATCTTGCTTCTTCTCCCATTTCTTCTTCCATGCCAGTTCTTTCACGGTAATTTTTTTCTTCAGCCGCCTCGCCATTGATGGAAGCAGACGAAGTAATGGAACAAGCATTAGCGTAGTCTGTCATGGCATGGAAGATCTCAGGCAGGCAAGCTTTGAGACCCCCAAGTGACTTTTCCCTCACCTAGATACAGTGTATGTGGTGAGCTTCGCATTCTTCTTCCATTCTCTTCTTCAAGCTCTCAACAATGAATTTCTTCTTTGAGACCGGGTCCTTAGGAATTGCATCTTCAACTCTCTCCTGATCCATTTCAGTGTGCCTTTGCGTGTACTTTTCGTACCAGTGTTCGAAGGCCCGACTTTTATGCAAAAACTCCTTCCGTGTCTCCTCAAACTTCTCTTTTAGCTTCATCTCTTCCTCCTAACGAAGTATGATGGTCTTTATCACAGCCGTAAGGGACGATATTGCAGATTTTGTGAGTTCATCAGGAAGCGAAATGGTTTATTGAATGGTTTTTAATTCCAGCTTCTTCTTTTTTTTCTTTTAATTATTGGTTTATTAAATGGTTTTTAATATAAATTAAATTTTGATTAATTTAAATGATGTGACTATCCACGTCAGATTTCACATAAGGTGATACATAAATATGGTATAAAAATATGGTAAGAATAGCATTACTGAAAATAATACTCTTTTTTTTTTTGTCTAATATTATGCAATTTGAACAAACTATAATCAGATGAAATAAATGCTATTAACTATTTGAGTTATCAGCCTCACAATACTTCTGTAATTCTAATATGTTTCTACAAATATTCAAGGAATTGTAGAACATTTTTTACGTTGACTCGTCAACAGAAAATGTTATTATTATAGCATAATATAGAAGTACCTTAAAGCAATGTTCACATTTGACAACTTTTTTTTTCCAATTTAAATTACTCTAATTTAAAATCGGGTGCAAAAGAGCATAATTTTTTCTCTGTACTACAAAAGTGGTTTATTGTGTCGGTGGTTAGTGTCGATTTTATATAAAATACTAGCAGATAAGACATTTCCGACACCCTTCTTACATGGTGTCAGAATTACTGTCAGGTATAAGCAACATAAATTGTCTATGTCGCTTATAACCGACATAGATTGTTAATGTCCGCTTACAAGCTTTTAATCTTTTTAAATGGTGGTGTCATATAAAAAGAAAACCGTGTCGTTTTCAACCGACATAAAGTTACTGTCACATTAAATACTTTATTTGGCATTTTCATCCGACACCATTTGTTTTAAATATTTTCAAACTTCCTGTTAGTGGGCAGGTTAAGGTCAGTCTCATCTGACTGATAGTGTATCCAATATTTGGGCGGGAATTTTCCCGCTAGTTTTGCACGCAAAACTGGGTAGGTGATGCGAGAATTATACGCACTCAAATTAAACCCTCTTTTTGACAATTGTAGTATAGATATAAGTAGGGATCGTTCTAGGCCGGGGATTAGGAGGGATTGTTAATCACTTGGATTTGACTTCAAAAACGTAAAAACAAGTTTAAAACACTATACTAGACTCAAAGAATGCAAAACTCAGAATAAGATAGATTAAGACTAAGACTAAACAAAATATGGGGGGGGGGATTGAGGTTTGGACGAATTTAAACTAAAATGGATAGATTGTAAAGAAAACAAATTGTAAATACGAATTTGACGGAAATGAATGGATGAGAAGCTAGCTAAGGGGTTCATCTCCACGCATGTTATACTTGCATACAAAATGATTTCTAATTGCTTTTCAATAAACCATGAATTCTCAACACCCTGGGTTAATTAGGTCTACTTAAATTAACTGTCAAGTTTTCCTTAAGTTAATGAATTGGATGATTGCATACGACAACCCAAAGCATTCCCCACAAGTTCCCTACATGAATTGCATAATAGAGATACAAGCAAGAATCATTAAGTTCTTTGAAAACCATAAGTGTTGACGAGGCATTCGTTACTATGAATTGCATGAAACTTATGCCAAGAATTTACTTAACGCGATTGTTTATAAGCAACCTCCACTACTTGTGAATATAAGTTCATAACTAGTAGGTGAAACTTACTTATATTCTAGCGTCATATTCATGCATGAAAATTAAGCGTGCACTCTCAATAAACATACATAAATAGGTTATCAATCAAACAGTTAAACAAATTGAATTCACAACTTATGAAACATAATTAGAAGTAATCAAATCATATTGTAAGCATAAACATATATTTCGAATCCCCCCCTAGCCAAGGGGGGGTTTAGTTCCTCATACGTACAAGACAAAGAGAATTGAAATTAAACATTGTAATCGAGGAAAAGCAACACCTAAAAATTCCAACAACTCAAACTTGAATTGTATGAACGTTTAGGCACTCTTCTCCTCCTCTTCGTTGTGGCATAAGGTCTAAGGATAGGTTTGGAGGGATGGGGCGTGGTAGGATAGTGTTTTGGAGGGATGGGGAGGTGGAAATGGAAGGAGGATGCTGGAAAATGGAAGGGGATATCACGGCAATGGATGAAGTGTTTGTGTTTGTGTGTGGTAATGAGAATGGAGAGTGAATGAATTGAATCCAAATGAATGAAGTGTGTGTGGTTTATATAGAGAGAGAATGGATGGGAGAGCATGTGAATGATAGCTAGGAGAATGATTTGCTAGGTTGGAAATGCATGTGGATTAGGTGGAATGTATAAGGGGTACACATCAAAGGGGGAATGTTGGTGCTGAAATTGCATGTGTGTGCATGTGAAAGCTGGAAATGCATGTGCAGATGCTGGAAATGGGAGTGAAAGCCACGGCAAGGGGATTTTTGGTGGTGTAAATGCATGTGTTTGTGGAGATGTAAAGCAAAGGATGTTTTGTGAATGATGGCAGGTTGTGTGATGGTGTTGTTGTGCATGTGTTTGCATTTGAAAGCTGGAATTGAAAAAGGGAAGACCATGTGCACGGCAAAGAAGGATTTGTGGTGAAATGGATGAATGATTAAGAGTGCATGTGGGTGATTTGTGGTGTAATGATGAAGAGAAGTTGCTGAAAATCTAAGGGGAAGGCACGGCAAGGATTTCAGGATGCATGTGTGTGTGAATGGTGGTGAAAATGCATGTGAGTGCATGTTTTGGTGCTGGAAATGCAAAAGTGAGCTGGAAAGGCAATGGGAGTGCACGGCATTGAGTTGTTGTTGTTGTGTGAATGCATGTGTTGAATGATTAAAGTGCATGTGGGTGAATATGTGGCTGAAATGATGAAGTAGGAAGGTGGAAATGCATGTGGAATGCTGGAAAGGGATTGGGAATGCACATCATTGAGTTAATGTTTGATGGTTTTGGGGTTGTGATGCATGTGAATGCAAGTGGCTGAATGTGAAGGGATTATGCACGGCAAGGTGTGGAGTTCTTTGGTGATGAATGCAATGATGAAGAGTGAATAAAGAAATGCATGTAGGGTTAGCTAGGTTGGCTTTGTTTGGGTGCATGTGTGTTGGAAATGGCTTTAAGGATTGTTTTTTATGGAATGGATGGTTCTTTGCATGGCTATAATGGAGAGAATAAGAGAGAATGGGCTAGGCCCTTTGTTGTATGTCCTAAAGTGCATAAATGACCTTCAATTTCGTCCATCCTATTGGCTCCATGGATAAGCTAATCCAATTCATTCCCAAAAATGCTCCAAATAGCCTCAAAATGCACTTTCTTGCTCCCTAAGCCCTTAGAACCTGAAAACACACAAAAGAAGCATAAATGACTAAAATAACTAGAGAAACATAACGTAAATGCACGAGAACAAGCCATTTAAGTCGCATGAATATGCTCCTATCAGTAGGGTGATGTCAATGAAGGGTGGTGTCGGTTTTAACCGACATCGTCGAATTTTGAAACTTTGAACCCCTACTTAAAACCCATCTTTCTCTTCCCTTCACACCATCCTTCTTTGCGCCGCTAGTCCCTTCCCCTTCTTCTTGTCCTTCCCTCAGCATTCTCTCAAGGGGATATCTTTAGGACTCCCCATTCCATATGCTTTTAGCCCAGTTTTAACCCTTTTCCATATGATTTTAGCAATGTGGTTGATGAAGACACATGGTTGAAAATGAACAAAGGTTTCATAGATGACTTTGATTACCTTCAAATGACTCCCCGCCATGTGACGAAGCTCCTGCCAGTCTAATTTTCATCTATTTTTCTTACGTTTCCCTGACCTTTGTTTTTCTATTTATTGCTTAAGTTCTATGTGTTGTTTTCACTTATCAAACCTTTTCAGGTCTCAACTGAGAACTACAAGCAGGATGTCCATAATTTGAAGAGACAACTGAACGATCAATTAGTTCGATCGAGAGAGAACTGAACTACAAAAAGAAGCAAAGCTAATTAGAGAAATCCCTCATAGGCTTTCTGAATGTGCAGCAACTTGCAAAGGCTTTTATGTGGATGTGTTATCAAAGACTCAGGTATAGCTCTTTTTCAAATCAGGCTCTCTGAAGTTTATTTGGTGTTATCAATTTAGTTACAATATATAGTTATCCGGACAGAGCTTTATATTTGATGAAAAATCTTCGGCGGCAATCAAGCATAAGTGAAATTGGCACAAGCTTGCCTTGTGTTTACAACCCCACTGTCGAGCACATTAGATCTAATTGATGAAAAATGGGCAATTCAATTGAAATAGTTGAAGAAAAAATTGACAAAAGGAAAAAAGAATAGAGAGAAAAAGTGATTGAAACGTGATGAGAATCAAGGAGAGAGAGGGAGAAAAAGGCTGATGTAGGAACCAAGAACCTTTTAGATATGGATTTTTATTCAATGAAGGTTAGTACCGACAGTAGGCTTGATATTTTAGTTGTTTAATTGTTACTTGATGTTCGTTAGGACCGCCATCATATCAGAATTTAATGTCGCTTCTAACCAATGTAAGGTTCGATGTCACTTTTAACCGACGCTGTTGTTTTTTTATATTTTATATTACCTTGCTTCTTGATGGCCGATTAAGGGGATTAACCGATGTCAATACCCTTTTCGTGACGCTAGCAGTGATGTCGGTTCCTTTATCTGACATTGCACGATTTGATGTTGGATTCTTACCAAAAATCCGACAGTAATTGGGGTTTCTTGTCGGTTTTTACACCGCAGTGATAGCCTCTTTTGTAGTAGTGTGTGGAATAACACACATGCACCATATTCAATAGCTTTTACAAATGCATTTCTTGCTTAAACTTAACAATTTCTTTGTATTTATAAATCGTAAATGTTGACCTTGAAAGAGGTTTAAATATCGAGAGAGTTTTCAATGGTCTCGAAACATATGTGCTTGGTACACTACATGTCATAACACAATTGAAGGAGAGTTTTTTAAGTGTCTCTCCACTTGTATCTTAACACGTGATGTATCTGCCCAAGTGAGTTTAAATTTCAGCTTCAATACTGAAAGAAGATTTTCATTGATTTTTGCAAACATGCAGTTGATCTGATCATGCAGTTGCTCATAACCCTAGGAGGAGGAAGGAGGAGGAGGGAAGAGCACATGATACTTAATTCAACCTATTGATGGAACACATACAAGCAATGGTATTGAGACCTGAAATAGCCAGCTATCGTGATCGTCATGATAAAATAGCACAAAATGTATTAGCCGCTTGTAATTTGATTTGGAATTCATATATATTCTTAGCGGATGGGAGGGTTCAGCTCGTGACTCCATCTAGATGATGTTGTATCAAGGAGGAACAGACTTAAAGTGAAGATTCGTATTCATGTAAATAGTTATTTTTATACTAGATGTACTAGAAATCATAACTTTATGTGTTTTGACTTTAATTAGGTAAAGTTTTTCTAGTGGATTGTGGATTTTCAAATTGTCGCCACTTTTTAGCTCTATTTCGAGGTGTTCGATATCATTTTTAAGATTTTGCTAGTAACGATCGTGACCTCGTAAATGCAAATGAGTTGTTCAATCTTTGACATGATTCCTTGAGAAACCTAATGGAAAAGATATTTGGTTTATTTAAATCTCAATTCACAATTTTTAAGTCAACACCTCCATTTCCAATTAAAACACAAGTAGAGTTAGTATTAGCTTGTGCAGTGTTGCACAACTTTCTTCACAAGGAGTGTCGTTTTGATGATAAATCTAAAGATGAAGCAAATTATGATGAACCGGGTAATCAAATTCAAGAGCAACAACGATAAATTGCTAATGCATGGAGAGCTGATATAGCTACAAATGTGGACATATGATGTGAATGATAGGGTTCAAATATGACAAATAGAGGGGATTACATGTTTTTACGGCTTAGATCATACAATTTATGTTTGAAAAACTTTAATAGCTAGTATATTTTGTAAACATTGAATGTGGACATGTCAAGAGCAACATCCTCCTGCGAACTTGTCAAATTCAAATAGTACTCCCATTGGTCGTCTATTCCGTCTAATTGAAACTTTGCATGTTATGTTGTTCTTTGGTTGGCTTTGAATTGTCATACGTTGTTCAGGTAGTGCGGTTACGTAAGGGTAAATTATGTTTGTGGAGATGAGAGTTTCATGTATGCATGCATGTACAATATTAATTAGAAGCTATGTCAGGTTGATTAGCTTGATATAATTTGTATTCCTTCCCACTAGCCTTTGGGTTTGTTTGCTAGTCCTTTAATCTGAAAGCAACTCTTCAATTAGACTGTCAATCAATACCCAATTAGCCAATTAGGCCATTAAACATGTATATCCTTTCTAATTTAAATTAATAAGATGGATTAGCCGGTACACGCACTTAACTTATAAACATATTACTTGGTATGTGGTCTGACTATTAGCAGCAGATGGTGGATGTATACTGTATACATGTAATCAAAACCGTTAATATCATGTGAAAATATACTAAACATGTATATGCATTTGAAGTAAAAAAAATGCTTAAGCAGATCCATTGATTGACGTGATAAATTAAAGTCACAAGAGTTTTAAGCTCAATTAACTCATTTTAAAAATAAAGGCCCCCAATATATTTTTTAAAACCTAACTTCAATGTAGTTTTATATATAGTGTTTAAGTGAATTTATCTATAACTCGAGATTCAGAAATTGGATCCCTCTCTTACAACTTTATTTGATTATTAAAAAGGTACGATTATTATTTGACACTTTAAAAATTTTATTGTGCACACAAAACTTTTGATGCATAAAAAAAATGGAATTTTAATGAAAAGCTTCCGGTATTGTTCATTTTAATGAAAAATCAAATTTTTACACTAAAAAGTCAATCCTGATACTATTCACTTTGCCCTTTATTTTGTCTTTATCGTTAAAACTCAAAGTTTTCAAGCCATTTTCATTAGTTTTCTATAAAAAGATACTTGTGAAGAATTCACAATAAAATCTTCAACAGTGCTGTTAATAGCACCATAAAAGAATTCAACACCCATACACGAAATGAACCTCTTTGACTTTTTTATTTTATTTTAAATTTTCTTCTAAAAAGGAGGTCATCTGGTGGCTTCGTCATGACAGCCCATCATTTCGAGGGTCGGGAAGACTCATAAAGGCAGTTCAGCCTCCCCTTACCATCATTGTGCGATTCACCAGTGCTAGAAATTGAACTTGAGCAAAACATGATATACGACATATAGGCTCGGAATTCATCCCTACCATTGAATCACCACGTGATGGTTGAACCTCTCCCTGTTTTCATTTTCTGGAAAAGTTGTTAGTCTAACCGTGTAATGTAACAAGACCAAAATCTCCATATATTTAAATATCTCATTAGAGTTGGAAGTTTCAAGTTTCAACTATGAAACCCTGAATCCGTTGTACATTAAAATCTATACTCAAAGTTGTACATTTAAAATCTAGTGGTACTCCTCTTCACCGGAAGTAAGAGATATTATGTTTGATTTTCACCAAAAGCAAATTTAAAACACATTATCGTTATAATATTGTGAGGCTTAACTAACTCTCTCATCTCCTTAATGTGATAATATTGTTTGTTTAAAAAAAAAAATCTAGTCCCAATAAGTAAGTAAAGTTCACAGTGAAGTCATAAATAAATGAATATGTAAATCCCAAATCGGAGTTAGAACATTTTAATTTGCAGTAAAGTGTCATGTGGTTATATATGTAGTGCCAAAATAAATTTGTTCTTTTCTGGTTACAGATAAATAAAGAATGATATAGGCAAAGAGAATGAGGTGGCCAATAATCCACGTCCAATCCCACATGTTTTAGAAGATTAATGTTCCTGACAAGGTCAAAAAAGTAGTTGAAAATAATGATTTAGGTTAACCAAAGTATATATTATTGGCAGGATCTATGACATTACTTGGGAAGAATGACTATTGAGTCATTGACCATTACAGTTTAAACAATGCGATAAGCTAATAGATGAGAGTTGTTGGTCACATCACATGCAGAACTGGTAATTTCATTGTTTATTATTTTATGTAATTATGTGTGTGTTACGTATGATTCGCCCACATGTTTACTAATTTGTAACAGTTGAGACATTTCAATTGTGGAATCTTTAGATAGTGAAATAAACAGAGATATTGTTGGGAATAAAATAAGGATAATGTTAGCTAAATTAAAATTTTAAATTAAATGACGTGTCATTAATAAGAAATAAGTACATTAATCAACGTTTAAATAATAATCCAATCATCAATAATCGTGTTATTTTATTTACAAAATTCAATCTCTCTAGTATTACACATAAAATAAATCAATGAAATCGAGTATATGTGGTTAACCAAACCAAGCCAGCCGACTGTTTTTGGAACATACTATATTCTATTTATGTACAAAAACAACACACCATCGTGCCTTTAGTTCTTCTACTGATAATGCTGAGGTTGTGTGAAGGATTTAAACAGTATAAACTCGTATAAACGGTATGCAATGACACCTAACGTCACTCCACTTTACTATTGTAATTACATTTATGTATATTTTGTAATAATTCTAAAATCGAAAATACAAAATGTATAAATCACCTCAACAATACTAGAACATGTTCTAAACTGAAAAAAGGTTGCTCGAAATATATGACGTTTAGGGATGGATCAATGTAAAGTGTTAATTTTCAGATTGCAATTCTTAAGTCATTTTGTTAAAATTTTTTAGTACTTAAAAAGTTGTGAGAGAAAATTGTGTGCAAATTTTTGTTGATGTAAGTAGAAGTACATTATTTTATGGTTTGACACAAAATGTAGTTTGTTATAGGTATCGATATGCTAATTGAAAATACAACATGTACGTAGAAGTACATTATTTTAAGTTGTTATGGATATTGATATTCTTTAAGATCTCAAGAGAAAAAAAGTTCAATAGCAATGTAATTTGATTGTGAAACCAAATTAAGGTACATATATACAACTCTTATACACTCTTTCTTTGCCTCAAGCCTCACAAAACAGAATCTGAAATCCATGCATTCGGTTAGCGTCTTTAGGCGTACATAGTGTGTTCATGTTTCAGTTGATTTGATGGTATTTGATTTGTTAATATCTATATTTACATCAACTCTTTTAAATTTAGATGTAACTTCCGGAAGTTCATTTTTCTCCTTATGTAATATAGTGATAATAAAGTAGCAATTGAATATGCATTGTAAGATCTTGATATGCAACTAGAGCAAAAATACCAAAAGATGAATAACATAACTAGACATACGATCTCTCAGATTCAGAGAGACTATATTCATACCCATGTACATAAAGATCGATGCATATGTATCACCTAATACTTGCGCATCACCAAACCTTTCACTCACCAAGTTAATGCCAAGAACATGCTTGTGAATTGTTACCATGTACAAGAGAAACCAAACTGAAAGTGAAAGCTAGGTCTTAAAGGCTGCACATCATTTTTGGTATTATTTCTTTTGTTTTTTCGAATTACGTAGACATAACTTTTCTTCTTTCCCTACAAATTCTGACATGATAAGACGTGGGTAGCTTTTTTGTATTTCGTTTTTATGATATATTTTCTCTCCTTTTCCTAAAGTCAGATTTTATGATCTAATGTTTATAAGTATAATCATTGGGTAAAGGAAACTAGAGAACGTGCATCTAGGATGGTAATGAATCTAATGATGGTCGATATATTCTCATCAGAACTTGTCCCGTATCCGTGTGAAGCATGTTGGATCAATCATTGATTTTAGATATATCATTTTTTTAAATCAAATAAATGTGTCGCCAATGTTTCTTGCAAACCTTTCAATTAAATACGAATGTTAATTTTTTTAAAGTGTGTTGGGAACGATTTTTATGCAAGCGTGTAAGAGGAAAATAGACATGTTAGACATTGTTACACTGGTATATATGTCAATGCCTAAGTTAGACTTAGTGGAGGTTAATGAATACGCAAGGTCTAGTTTATTGGTAGAGGAACATAGACCTTTCCATGGTAAATGACCATGTCTTTATATAGTAACAAGCATAGAACTCGACGGTGATTCTTTCGGGCACATGAGGAGTCCTGTTATTGGCTGATTTGAGACTCGTATAAACCATCTATTGAGTCATTAGTCGTTTGACTTTAAAAATGTGAAAATGTGTGCCAATTAAGAATTCGGTTTAGGAATATCTCTTAACCATCAAATATCATGGCCTATAACTGGGTTATGATTAGAATTACAATCCATTGTTGATCCTAAGGAATCATTTCTTATCTAGCCTTAGAGCATCCCCAATAAGGGCTTTATCCTCCTTGAGACTATCACGTTTGTAGCTCTAATGAAAATTTCATCCCTAATAGGCCAGAAAATAGGCCTACTGTAAAGTCTAGTTTTAAGTGTTTGGCTTTCCTTGTCAAATATTGTATTTGTGTAACACATGTTCA